TGTATCTTGATGTGCGTTTGTTTTCCAATATCATTAGCATCGCAAGATTTGTTTAGTTTACACGTCCGTAATGCACACCCCCTTCAGAGTCAAGAACCAATCAAATATTGTGAAGACAAACGACCTGAGAGCGCGATTCACAATGCTGCGATCGCTATCGCGTCCCGTGTGTCGGGTTTCACCCTGGCTGCGATGACAGCCGTTAATCGCTGTAGTTTGTCGCTGCCCGTGTGTCGAGCCCTTAAATGTGAAATAAATAATACAGAAATACTATTAAAAGTAAAGGAGTTTTACTCACTGTTGAGTTTTGGTGAGAAGCTGCCATCTTAAAATCTGAACTCTTCCACTTTCCCGACTAGAACTTCCCACTGGATGGGTGTTCCAGTTTAAATTTCTGACCTTTAAATGGGAAATTCCCACTTCCCAGTACAAATGGGCTGCAGCAAAAGTAGCCTGCAAAAATGCAGTGAAATGGTGATTTAACATAGTGAAAATTGTCAGCTGCCAGGTACTTTTGAACACTGTGCACCTCCACTTTGTGCTGGGACGCCTTCGTTTCAGCAGTAAGATACTTTATATTCCTTTTGGGAGATGTAGTTCATGGTCAGTGGTGGCTTTAAAGCAGCATACGCTCATTGAAAGACATAAATACATCTTTGAAGCTCTCGCGGGCCACATAAAATGCCATTATGGTCATCATTTGGCCTGCTGACCTTTGTTTTGAAACATGTTCTGAAGTAACTTACTTTGTATTTCAGTTCACCCATTAGCTGCTATGGCTTAGTTTGAGGCTAAAAATGTTTTGAGAGCATCTTACATTCTGACATTTAGCAGGAAACACCATCTTGTTGTTAAATTACAGGTCTAAATTTGACGTTTTACTAAAAACACTGTCACTTTATAGGTGTACACAAAATGAGTTTACACCTAGAATACACTTAAGGTAAAAGACCATTCTTAATTAAAATGCTTCAATGGTTGGTAAATCCCTTGTCTTTAGAAAAATGTACTTTAGTTGTAACTTTATTATTAAATACCACCACAGCTTTCTTTTTGTCAAGGTGCACTGACTTTTTTTTGTAAAGGCATGGATTTGCAGAGTACAAAGTAAGCAGCTGTTTTGTCCTTCTGGAATCTTATTAAAAACACAGAACAATCACCGTGGCCGGGATTTTCCTTTCAATAAATTCTTCAGCATTGAAAAACAGGGGCCCCCAGGTCTCCTAACCCCATAGCAAGCAGCGTCCCACCAGTTGGTCCATCATTAGAGTTGTTTGATGGCTTGAAAGCTTGGTTCTCTTTCTCGCGCCGTTTTTATTGTTGCGCAGATTTAACGAAGAGATCGAACAAACTGATACTGTTGTTTTAATAAGGAAAAGACAAAAGGCTACTTTATGGGAAAGCAGAAAAGCGTATTTGAAGGGATTTAGGAGAATCTCGGTTTAAAACATCTGAAATCTGATCAGATACGCTTCTTAACGGCCTCTTCCTTGTTGTCACTCTGCTGAAGACGAGAAGCTGTGAGGTTACATAAACATTACATCAATGCACGTCCCACTAATTTTATAATGTTCTTCCCAATCAGGGTAGATTAATGTTGAAGCTACTTTAATAGTTTTTGTTTTGCCTTGTTATTTCCTCCCTCCCTGTCTGCATTGTTGATTTTCTAGGAATCCTAAAGTAATAATCCTGTCTACTTCCAACTATTGTTGCAGTTTAGGTTTAATGAATGCAAACGCCATGCCAACTCAAGAGGCTCAGTTCTGTCCTTTAGTCACGTGAGAAAAACCGTGTAATTGCTGTGTTTTTGTTTCTCTGGCAGCTGTTCGCTTCCCTCCCTTGATGCATGTCACCAAACAATGACAAACTATTTAGCAGGCGTTTGAGTCATTTTTTTTATTTTTTGCGGCTTTGAAAATGATTAAAATCGTGAAAACACCGTTCCCACGGCAGGTTGACGTGGAGAAGATGTTGATCCTCGTAATGATGGGGTTTGCACTTTGTTTCATTGTGATTGGAGGTTTTGGCTCAGACTTCTGTGCCGTTGCAGAAACATGCTAAGCCACTTCCCCCACTCCACCTCCACCACATCGTTCTGTGTAATTATATTTACGTTTAGACCTGTAGGTATGTTATTTTTGGGACACATTGAACCGCTGCGGTGTATTTAACGCTGCTATTCCTGGACCTGGGTGAGCCTGGCTTTTCTTTAGAAATGAATGTTTAATGTGATTCATCTTCCACTGGCCTAATTCCTCAACTGTTTTCTAAATGGTCAGCCCACACCCTTATCGTAACTGACCAGTGTGACTAAATATTTCGACAAACATTGCTTCAATTTATGTGATTTGAACCAGAAATTTAAAGCAAAAAGTCGTTGGCTTCCACTGAATAATACTGTAGTCAGCTTGTGTGGAATAGTTGGTCTGTACAGCTCTGCCAACCATAACAACACAGATGTGGGTGTGTAGGAGGTGAGTGGGGTATTATAGCCTAACAGGATAGTCATAAAATCAAAAAAGGTTTCTCCAGCCAGCGTTCTTGTGCCAACTAAAATATATAGCTCGTTTTAGGAGTCTGGTGTAACATTAGGAATTAAAGCCTACATTGTGTACAGTAAATCAGCAGGAGACAGTGAGGATTTGAAGCAGGCGGTGATTTGGGCACCTCGTGATCCACGAGAGGTCTTGATTACAGGTGTCGCGCTGCGCTAAGAACGTGTTACAGAACAGAATAATTCAGGTAAACAGCCATTTTGGATTAGCAGGGTCCGCAAACAGATGATGGAAGTCAACAGACTTGTTTGTGCAACCCCCCCGACGAAGTTTCAGGATATTTAATCGTTCAGGTCCAAGTTGACGGTTTGACTTTTTCATTTGATCACTTCTCGTTTGAATTAGTCTTTATTTTTATTTGCTTGTACGTTGCAGGATTTGTTGTTTGCTTTAGTTTTTCCTGTCATTGTGCTGCATGTGTTTATTTTCCCTCCGAGTGTACAGTTTCCCAAAATTCTTCAGGTTCTGCCCCACCAGAGTCGTGTTTATTTAGCCACCACGCTGGAGGCTTCAGTACGTCGGGGGGGGAACGGAGACTCTGGTCCGGTTGTCACGCTCCCCTTGCCTGTTTGTTTTAAGATCCACCCTGCGCTCTCTGTCTCAGCCAGACTGGACACGGAGCTTTCTGAGAAAACACGCAGCTGCTGTAAAGTCGACCCGAACAGGAGCTGCGCGCTGTAGGACAACCTGTCCTCACTTCCCAGACCCCCTGGCTGACTCATTACTGTCCCATTTATATACAACAAAACATGAAAGTCTCCCTAAAACAACACTTGACGCATTTTGGCCCCATCATATAAGGCTGCATTGTGAATATAACAAATTCTGCTCTTTTGAAAACAAAAGAAAAATGCAGCTTTGATGTTTAGAATAATAAATACCGACATCTGTCCCCGCTGTAGCAGGGAAGAAAGCTCCTTTGTTTAAACTTGTTTCTTTACCGGTCAGAAAATAAAAAGAAAATAAGAAGGGGAAGAACTTTTCTAACATTCAGAACATGAACACACTTTTTTTTTGTCACCTGTCTACTTCTCTGATCTTGCCTCCTTTTCCTCCACGGGAGACTTTAATTAAATGTGTTGATGCAACAGGTACTTACTCAAACCGTGATATTACTGTAATCCAGCTCCATGTTTGTAGGTCAAAGCACACGCTGTTGTAAACAGATTGCAGTCCAGGCACAATTTAAAAGTGAAATTTTAGATTAATACGCTCAGATCTATAAAACACAAATAAAATAAGAGCAAAAATGTTCTTTTAATGCACCTAATCTAATATATTCACTACAAACTAACTAACCAATCTTCCTCCATCCTTTCTTTCCTCTTAAATGTATGCCCTGCCTAAACTTAAGAAAAAGTGCCACAAACAAATGGTTTATTAACATCTAAACCTCAAAGTTTGTTGTTAAACTTTTTATAGGAAATTAATCTCTCAATAAGCTGTACATTAGTGATTTATTTGATTCTGTAAATAAATAAATGATCTCGTTTATTTTAAATCAACCTAATTTCACTGAGTATGCCCATCTTATTGTGTGTTTTGTCCATTCATTTTTGTATGAAGATATTACCGAAAATAAAGTGATCCTTGCTAAAATAATTCCTTATAACCTCGTTATAAGAAGTGTGGGGGTGAACCCTACACTATTATAGCTCCATCTGTGTGCAGATAATGTGTTGTCAGAGCTCTAAACATATTTTTTTATGTTAGGGTATGGCGGCACGACGGCTCAGTGGTTAGCACCTATGCCTCACAGCAAGAAGGTCCTGGGTTCGATCCCCGGTTCGGACCTGGGGTCTTTCTGTGTGGAGTTTACATGTTCTCCTTGTGCTTGCGTKGGTTTTCTCCGGGTACTCTGGTTCCCCCCACCCCACAAAACATGTGCAATAGGTTACCTTCAGGCCCAGGCCTCCCTTGAAAAAAGAGATCTGAGATCTCAATGGGACTTGCCAGGTAAAATAACGATAGCTAGCTAGCTAGCTAGCTAGGTAGGTAGGTAGGTAGGTAGGTAGATAATGGTGCTGTGTGTGTTATGCTTCATTGTTTATTATAACCTTGTTTTAATGAAAGAAATCCTGATAGAAATATTTATTTATTGAAGAGCGATGGTGAAAATTATCCTGACTGTTTAAAGATGAAATTTATCTTCTAACATCAACCTGAACTCTGTAATGATCTGCCTGGTTCCTGTTGTTTCTGTGTTGTAGATCTTAGATGAAATCGCCGAGCAGGGGATCAAAATTTATCAGCTACCCGACGCCGACTCTGATGAAGACGAGGAGTTCAAGGAGCAGACCAGAATCCTGAAGGTGAGGGGGACGATAAACGCCTGTTCCACATTCGTCCTGGTGTCCCTGCTCTTTGTATTTATTTATTTTTTCCTGCACTCTTAACTGCCTTTGCCAGGCGAGCATCCCCTTCGCTGTGATTGGCTCCAACCAGCTGATCGAGGTGAAAGGGAAGAAGATCCGAGGTCGTCTTTACCCGTGGGGAGTGGTGGAGGTGGAGAATCCGGAGCACAATGACTTTCTCAAACTGCGCACCATGCTTGTGTGAGTCTCCTTGGCAGTTAAACCGCTTAGCAAATAGGATTTTGTGAAAAGAAGATCTTATATTTTGGACAGAAGTTCTGTCTTTATAATAGCTGTAAAGCAGAGCCGCGGCGCCCCCTAGTGTTTAATACACTAACTGCATGTCTGGTTTTTAAAGGACCCACATGCAGGACCTCCAAGAAGTAACCCAGGATCTGCATTATGAGAACTTCCGATCTGAGAGACTGAAGAAGGCGGGCAGGTGAGCTGCTGCTCAGTATCAATAACAAAACAGAAGAGATTCTGCTTAATTTAATTTAATAATTCATTCATTCATTCATGTTTGTTTTCCTTGCAGAGCCGTGGATGAGGACGTGGTGGACAAAGACCAGATTCTGCTACAAAAAGAGTTGGAGGTAAGAAGCTTCACGTAAAACCTTTAAAGTCTTTGCTGCCATTCTCCTTGAATCCAAGTCTTTCCTGTTCCTGTATTTCTTTTTTTGTTTAGCGAAGAGGTAAAAAAAGTTTATTAATTCTCTTAGCATTGTTTACCTCACCTCATCAAATGGTTGATTTAGGTGAATTTTACAGGACAGAGCTGCATGTTTTAGTGTTAATATTTATAGAATAAGTTCTGCTGTTTCAGTGAATTGTTTATGATTTAATTGGGTGAGTTATGCACAGTAGATCAGTATTTCGGATAGCTTATTTGAGACAAAGTTTTGTTGATCTACAAGAAAAATAATCTGAAGATAAAGGACCATAGTTCTACATGGTTAGGTCTGTCATAATAAAGTTAGATTTATTACCTGATGTTTTGTTTTTTTAATGAAGAAATCAGAAAAGTTAACATTTTCAGTGTTTATTTTTTATCCTTGTAGTGCCAGTGTGAAGCTGAAAGCCCCGAGTCAGGACTCATTCAAGGCAGCTGGATAGAAAAAAATATATTTATATACTGTGTGTGTATAATATATACACACACAGACATATATAAAATATTTATATATATATATATATATATATATACATTTTTTTTAATTCATGAATAAAGAATAAAAGTGTGGCAGAGCAGGAAAGCCTGAGACAACAAAGTAACAGATATCCAAAACGATGACCTCATAAGGGGTAAATTTAATAAATGTTATTGTCAGAGCAAAGGAAACGAGGCAGAATATAACCTGAGGAGCTGTTACATGAAACACAGGTGAGCAACAACATAACCCTGACAAGAAGAAAAAATATGAACAGATTTTTAGAGCAATAACATAAAATAGAATTTAAATTAAGTAAATTTGTCCATAAAACGTTATAGATTGTGACGTAGAGACTGAAAAACAAGTTATTTTTGTTTTATTCCAGATTTTGATTAACAAAAACATGTATAACACTTGAGATATAATTTTTTTTGTTCACTGGATTAACTTTATAAAGGTAAACTTAATACTGTTGATGGGAAAAATAAATTATCCTGCATGAAGTTCCATCTGCTATCACAAGATGGCGCCAGACATCACATTTCCAAACAATTAGACTCCCTGTAAGTTTTGATACATGTTTATTTGTCTTTAAGTGCTGGTCACCTTTTAAGATTATTTACTTTTTAAAGTCAGATTTATTTTAAATCATTTTATTACCAAAAAACATGTTTTCTAAATTGTCATGTGATGAAAAATAATATTTTAACCTATTTTACCCTCCTCTCTGTAGCTGAGGCGCATGCAGGAGATGATCGCTCAGATGCAGGCTCAGATGAAGATGAAGTCGGACGAGTGAAAGATTTGAGTCAATGGGAAACACACTGATCTCACTTTATATGCACAACACACACACACACACAAACACACACCTGCTCTTCAAACCCCTCCTGCAGTCCCACCCAGGGCTCAAGATTACATCGTCTTTATCAGCACATCTCTTCTTTTTCTCCATCCATCAACTGTCTGAAGCTCTACTCTGTCTTCGTAATAAATATCAGATATCAGTGTTCACGTTTCTCTGTTTATCAGCCTTAACGTCTTGTGTTCTGGTCCACAAAACTACATTAGACAACGGTACTAAGAGTCCTTCTCATCGCAATCATGCTAACTAAAAGAAAATCAGGAAGCATCATTTTTTACTCGTATACTGTGAGGTTCTTATTGTTTTAACTTTGTTTTAACTTAAAGATTAAATGACGTTTTACTGGTCGTGTTTTCTATCGACTCGCAATCAATCCTGTCTTTAAACCTTAAACCTGAAAAACTTCAGCTCTTCAGTAAAGAGTCTGGTGAACTTAGTGGAAAGAATTTAGCTGACTTAATTTTATCTCAACTGTTAAATCTATTACCACTGTTAAAGTAGAAACAATGTGTCCTGTACAATCACTGTGTCATTTAAACCTGTTTGTACACTACATATGCAGGTTTATAACATACTGTTTCCCATTTAAATGTCACAATTTATATTTAACTGTACTACATGAAAACTCCTTCCAGCTTTCTGTGAGTAGCAAATGAAAAGCACATTTCTCTCTGTGTCACTAATGTGCCTTTGGCATTGTTTTGTTTATTTTTCTTTTTTTGTTCCACAGGTTAAACATTTCTTTACCATGTGTCATTAAAAACTCCTAATCGTAGGCGTCAACATTTTTTTTTTAATTTTTCTGAAATAAAATGTATCAAAGAAAACAAAAGTGAAGTTTGTAATTGATTGGCTGTCTTTAATACAGTTCTGTTAGTTTTCTGACCTTTCTAATTGTGAAAGCGGGAATGTTTTCCTATTTTTTTTTTCCCAACATGTTTTGTTGCAACAGCTACTTCTGCATGGTTTGTGCTATTTTACTGTTAATATATCAAAACAATCAGCTCATTAAGGAGGTGTGTGCAGCGGGGAGTTTTATATAGCTTTTGGGCTTTTAACTTAATTTTCAAAAAGAAATTACCCATAGAAATACATAAATACAACTCACGTTCGTTCAGAAACATTCACTATAACACGTCTCAACATTCTGCTTCATCAAACTTATTATTTTTAACTCTTACCTTTAGCTGCATTCCCTCTGTTATAAGCTTTAACCTTTTACTGGATCTAGTTTTAGCTGGCTTTTTGCTATTTTAAGCCATGGGTTTTTGCTGCATAAAGCTAATGTTTTCCTAATGTTAATGTTTTGCTACACTTAGTGTTTTGCTAGTCTAATGCTATGTTAGCTTTTGCTTCTAGCTACTGTTTTGTATATTTTGGCTTTGTTTATCTACTTTTGGCTAGTTTTGTTGCTAGACTTTTGTTACACTTAGCATTTTGCTACTTGTTTTGCTACTTTTAGTCTATTGCAACACTAGGGCTGCACGATATTAGGAAAACCTGCAATTTGCGATAACAGTGCTTAATATTGCGATGATGATATGACTTGCGATAAATAAAAAAAATACGTATGTATATGTAGTGTTGATATCTTTCTGCTCTGGGTTCAAAGCCCAAAAAATAATCATTTCCATTCCTGCCTGATTTTTTTTTAAATTGACTAAATACATGAAGGGCTCTATTTAATTGGTGAAATATTTCAAGCTTCCATCTGAATGACAAAATGCATAAATACAAATTTTTGAGTCAACCATTTATTGTAGTTTATGCAATTGTTGCGATGTGCACATTATACAGGCTGTTATCACGATGACGATAAATTTTCGATATATTGTGCATCCCTATACTTAGCTTTTAGTTATAACTACACTTAGTATTTTGCCAGCTGTTTGCTACTTTACTGTTTTGCTTTTTTTTTTTTGCTTTTAGCTACTGTTTTGCTATTTCTTATCTAGTCTATTGCAACTCTTTAGTTTTTAGCTAGACTTTGTGTTTTGCTACTTTAGCTAGTATTTTGCTTCTTTTAGTTTCCAGCTACTATTTTGCTATTTTTAGCTAGTCTCTTACTGCGCTAAGCTGTTCGCTCCTGTTTTGCTACACTTTGCTTTTAGTGAGTCATTACTTAGCTTATTGTCCTTTTTCTAATTTTAACTACTGCTTTTCTGTTTTCTCTTTTCATGGTTATTGCTACTTTTAGCTAGCCTTTTTCTGATTTTAGCTAATGTTTTTCTGTGTTCTACTTTTAGCTAGTGTTTGCTTTTAGCAACATTTTTTGCTGCATTTAGCTCATCCTTTTCCTTTTAGCTAATGTTTTTCTGTTTTGTATTTTAACTGTTTTTCCTACTTTTAGCTAGTCTTTGTTTTTAGCAACATTTTTTGCTGCATTTAGCTCATCCTTTTCCTTTTAGCTAGTGTTTAGCTTTTTGCTACTTTTGCCTTAAACAGCTCAGTTTCAGCTCATTCAGTCAATATTTTCTTTGTGTTTTGCAGAAAATAATTGTTGTTTTGTTATTTAGCTTTAAATAATTAGTGATGTGAAGTCATCCTGGAGGATCTGCTGCTCGCTGTAAACTGGCTGAGTGAGGGTGATGATGAAGAGGAAGAGGAGGGGTTTCCTCCTGTCAGCTCTGCCCACCCTCCTGCTGTTCGGGAGGCGAGGCTGAGCCGGGGAATCAGAGCAGGACAGCGGGCCAACATGACGAGCAACATCAGGTACAAAAGCCGGATCCCGGTTAAAACAGGTGAGCTCCGCTGGTTGGTTTGTTTATTTAATTTCCAGCTGATTTTAAATGATCGACGCAATAATTTCTGCATCATGTTTGTGTCTCAACGCGTCGCTCTTCATCCCTGCTGCACCTGCTGCCTCCTCCTCTGATGGCCAACAGAGGACAGCATGGAGGTAAGAAATATCATTTCATCTTTTATATTTTTTCTGATAAATTACCAAAAACAACATGGCCAACCTTTCATCTGCGGAAGCGTCTGCGCCTCTGGGCGTTTGTTATTAATATTATTATTATTATTTGCGCATTTATCTTTAAAAAATACGCACAGTGCGCAAAGACAGCCATGCCTGCGCAGACCTTAGGTTTCATTTTTAGACGCAAATATGGAGTAGGTCGGCATCCACCATGGTTACCCATAACGCAGCATCCTCTTCCTCCTCCTCCTCCATCTTCATCTTCATCCTCCTCTCTGCTGTCGTCCAGTTTTTAACGTGACATCAGCACAGATCTTGATTTCCAGTCGCAGCTCCGGACCTTTGTTCATCTGAAACAGCTGCGGAGTCTGGAGGGGAGGTCGGGTCGATGTGACCCTTCACCTCCCCATCCTCCTCCTCCTCTTCCTCCTCTGAGCTGTTAATATGAGCTGTGTTTTTATAATCCACTAACCCAGATAATTAATGCCATTACCAAAAAGCTGAGGCTAAAATAATCACATTATGTTAAATTTTATTTATTTACTATATTTGTTGGTTTTTAGCAAATTATTTTATATTTGCACACAAACATCTAATTCTTTTCTTAAAATCATTGATATGAAAGTATTTCTTGAAGGTCTTTCATGTCATCTCTGGACTCACAGCATCATCTAAAAAAGAATTAACCAAGAAAAACAACAGAATGTGAATTTATAATGACTGATGTCACATTTACAGCAACTTGACCTCGTGCAAAGATTTATGAGCACATTTTGATTAATTTGGGTGYATTTAAAACATTTTTTGTATTACATAACTCAACAGTTTTTTACAACTGGTGAGCTGTAACTCCCACATGCTGTGCTGCAGCTGATCCTGAGAGTCACTTTGAGTAAAAATATCTTCTGAACTATTCAGGCTGAAAGAGGAGGAGGAGCTGGAAAACTGACCAATTTAAAGCTGAGATTTTAAGCTTTAAGAATCCTGATGATCAATCCTGAATCACTGAAATCTTCCCACAGCTGCCAGGAAACACTTTAAAAAAAAAAAAAACATTTTCATCGTCCTGCAAAAACGAAGCAGCGCCAAACTCTCACATTGTTGTGTGGGTCGATATCAGCCGAATATTTTTTTTCCTTCGTACATCAGAAACACAAAGAACACTGGATACTTTTTAGTAAAAAATGCCCTGTGAATGTATAAGCGACTGATGAAATTTGCTGAAGAAGCTAAAACTGAGCAGAACAAAAAGAAGCAGAATAATAAAGTTAAAAGTGGTAAAAAGCTAGCTAGAAACTAAAAGTACCAAAAGGCTAACTATAATTGGCAAAAATCTAGCTAAAGGTATCAGAAGCTTGGCAAGCTAAAAATATCTAAAGGCTAAATAAAAGCTAAATGTTGAAAAAAGCTATGGAAGCTAAAAGTACCAAAAGGCTAGCCATAAGTGGTAAAAATCTAGCTAAAAATACCAGAAGCCTGGCTAGAAGCTAAAAATATCAAAAAGCTAAATAAAAGCTAAATGTTGCAGAAGCTAAAAGTACCAAAAGGCCAGCTATAAGTGGCCAAAAGATAACTAGTAGATAAATGGTAGCTAAAAGCTAAAATTGGCAATATGATATTTAATAAAATAAGTATCAAAAGGCTAGTTGAAAGTAGCAAAATGCTGGCTAAATGTTAAAACTAGCACTGGTCTAATTAAAAGCAAAAAGTTGCAAAATGTAGACTAAAAACTAAAAGTAGCAAAACTCTAGCTAAAACCTGAAGTAGCAAAAGTCTAGCTAGAGATAAAAGAACCAAAAGGCTGCCTAAAAGCTAAAAATAGCTCAAATTGGGTAAAAGCAAAGCTTTGTCTTAAATTTAAAAGTAGCAAAAAAATCAGCTAGATATAAAAATTAGCTAAATGCTATCTGGATTTTAGCAAACTGCTATCCGACAGGTAGATTTCCCTTTTGTTTATAATGTTGATTCAGACCCACGTGAATCTGTTCTTGCCTCTTGCTTTTCCTTCTTCTGTCTCCAAACACACAAACTGTCTCAGTGCCACAGATGGACTCACGAGGACCAGCTGCAGAGCAGGACAGGCGTGTCACGGGGGGGTCAGCTGGCCTATTGAACAGGATCTAACCCCCCCATGGTTCTGGTTGTCAGAGGCTAATGTGAAAAGTTTTCAGTTTTTTGTGATCAATGTTCATGACATGAAAACATGAATTCCCAAACATCAACCAAACTTCTGCAAAAACACTGACTGAATGCTGAATACCTGCTGAAATCTGCTAAAACCTGCTGAAGAAGCTAAAGTTGTTAACCTAAATCAAACTCTAGCTAAAGGTTAAATGGAAGCACAATGCTAAAAGCTAAAAATAATGAAATGGGAGCTAAAACTTAAAAAAGTAAAAGGCTAAGTAAAAGTATAAAGGCTAGCTAAAAGACAAATCGTTATCTGGAAATATCAGAATCATAGATAAATACTAAAAGTCACAAAATTATCCAAAAACTAAATATATCAGAACGATAGCTATAAGGAAGTCACAAAAGTATGGCTAAAATCTATAAATAGCAGAATAACATATAAAGCTAAAAGTAGCTGGACAGTAAAGGTAGCAAAATGCTATCTACAAACAAAATGTAGCATAAATAGGTTAGGTTAGATTAGGTTAGGTTAGGTGAGATTAGATTAGGTTAGGTGAGGGTTAGGTTAGGTTAGGTGAGGTTAGATTAGGTTGGGTTAGGTTAGGTTAGATTAGGTTAGGTTAGATTAGATTAGATTAGGTTAGGTTAGGGTTAGGTTAGATTAGATTAGGTTAGATTAGATTAGGTTAGATTAGGTTAGGTTAGGTTAGGTTAGGTTAGGTTAGGTTAGGTTAGGTTAGGGTTAGGTTAGGGTTAGGTTAGATTAGATTAGGTTAG